AAACCTCGCCAAACTTTCCCCAAACTCGGCGGGCTGGGGAGGGACCCTGGCCGGAGGCGCGCATGCGCCCCGCCCGCTGCTCGGAGTTCCCAGGGTTTCGGAGAGCCAGGGTGGAGTCGGACGAGTCTTCCCGGAGGCCCGCCTAGCCCCTGCTCCCAGGGCAGTCGGGGCTTGGGTGCTTGTGCGTCTTCCCTCGAGGCTGGAAGTGGCTGCCCGGCGCCGGGCTCTCCGCAGTTCTGCTGTCTTTGCGCATGGAAGTCTCCAAGAGGGGCTCCGGGAAGCGGCGAGCCGAGAGGGGGGCGAACGGCCTGACGGGGGGCAGGAGATAGGACACAAGGCTTCTTTGGGGGAGACTCGGGGTAACTACGCCCCCTGGCTGGGCGGGAAGCCCTCGGGCGGCCGCCTGCAGAGGGCCCCATGGCCCGGGGCGCAGGCTGTGGCGAGCTGGTTCTGCATTTGGGCGGAGGCGCCGGCGCTGGCAGCTACAGTGGCGGGCATGCGGGTTTCTAGCCCGCCCCTACTTTTGGGTCCCTGGGGACCTAAACCTGCCTCTCGCGGGCGGTGGAGGGGGGTCTTGGCCCTTGGCCGATCCCCGCAGCTTCACGCCAACCCCCTCCCTGGGGCTTCGGCACCTGTTCCAAACGACCTGATGCGCTGACTTCGCTTTGGAAAGGCGTCGGCGTTCCGCTTGATGGTGGCGGGCAGTGTAGAGGCCCCCAGGCGCCAGGAGAGAGTCTAGGTTCCCTACTAGTGAGAGGCAAACTCTCAGCACCTCCTGTGGCACGCAGTGTGTTTCACCTTGGCCTGTGTCCCGGGAACCCAAGGCGCCCTGGGCAGGCCTGCACTTGGCCCACCCTGGGGACTTCTCCGGTAGCTCTTGGTAATTTGGGAGGAAGGACTAGACAAAGGTCGCGATTAGAGACTCACCACCGACTAATTAAATCCTCTTTTCTACTCACCCCCCCACCCCCAAACCTTGCAGCCGGATAGAAATCCTTAGTCTCCCAGCCCCACCTTCAAGTGCTCCTAGAGAAAGCTACTGTTGCACTACTGCCTCAGACGAACTGGCACTTGGAGCCTTCTCACTCCAGAAGTGATTTTTTTTTTTTAATTATCTCTAGTTTTATGATTTCTTTTCAGCGATCGCACAGGATCCCCTTTAGCTCCTTTCTTGTTTGGACCACTGAGCGTCCCTCAAACAGCTAGGTATCCAGCTTCAGAGTACAAGCCTTTGAAATTGGGATTCTGGTGATAAGGCTAGCTGGGAGATGTTTCTGGAAGGAGTTTTATTATGAAATCCAGTTGGGCAAGCCTTGTGAAATGAATGACAACAGTTTGTTGGTATTTGGATTTTCAAAAAGGCATGTGGACTTCCATTGGGGCAACTCAGAAAAAATTTATGTCCTGACATGCTAAATACAAATGAAACGTTTGAAAGAGCCAATTCTAAATGAGGGCCACCTGGCTATAACCCCTCGCCCAAGTCTGGTGCATAGAATTAAATATTGGGGTTCAAAAATCAGCATTTTGGCAATAGCAAACGTGTGATGTTTCTAAGCACTTATTTAGAAGTTTTTCCTTACTTTTGAAAACATACTTGACGCCTCATTTCTTTGATGGCTGCTCAATAGACACCATGAGACGCTGACTGAGCTGCCCCCTCCCCAGCTTTCCCCTTGCTTGCAGCGCTTTCATCCAGGGCTTGAATTGTGTTGTCAAAGTTTAGTAGACGAAAGAGGAGGGGGCATGAGAACGGGGGAGGGGGGTGTCTTGAAAAGTCTTGGAAATTGGTATATTTTGCAGGTGTAGAATGTGCCTAATAACCATGGCTAGTGCGCGCTCCCCAATGGCGAGGGTATGACAGGGACAGCTGGCTCAGTTTTCAGTGTGAAAACACCCCCTCGGTGGACCAAACACAACGACACTGACCTTTCTGCGGGGGGAACCAAGATGTCCCTTTGACTGAATTAGCCATAAAGACGTCTTGCTATGACTTTTGTTCCCCACGAAAGCAAAGAAATATTGCGTTTAATATGAGTGGTACTGTTCACAGCTTTTCCGTGCCCCTTAAGAAATATTACAGCGCTGATTTACTGGCCCTCTTCTACTGAGTTGGCCCCAAGGCCGAGGGTGGAGGGGTAGGGATGGGGTGGCAAGGACAGACCAGGAGTCGGTGGAGGCAGCGCACCGAGTTGCCTGTTGCCTGTTTTCAAAGTTCTCACTTTGCAGCGGCAAATTTATCAATCTTTTCATCTGACAATACTTGGAAATATATCATTGTCATCCAGAGTTGTTTGATAGATGATCTACAGGCACACCAGCCTTTTCCAAGGTCAAGTTGAAGATTCTTGTTTGCTGTTTAACTGGGTTGTTCAAAAACTCAGAACAATGCCTGCCTGTTAAAATTTCACTTGTTCTCATGGGGCATTCGAAAGCAAGTTTTCCTATTGACCAGTGTGGGGACATTTCATCCTCTTGAGCTTCTGAATTCAGCAACCAGGGCTTGGCAATGAAATCAACAGGAGAAGAAATGAGATTTAACCTTAGCTCTTGCAGACGCCAAAGAGATTAAGCCATCTTTCACATCTCCTCCAAGTGTGTACTAATTTTTCTCTGCATGTCGCGGGCTGGTTATAGCCACACGCATCTCATTCAACTTTCTGCCTTTACTCTAGTGGGAAGCTGCACGTACCCACCCCTAAAGTAGAAGCGCAGAAACACTGTGGCCACTCTTGTCTTTGTCAGCCCACAACCTGTTGCTCTAAGGACGCTTTAAAATAAAGTGGGCCCCTAAATCGTCATGTTTTATGGACATATTTATTTATGTTTTTAACGGAAACACTGGCTTCACAGTTTCTTCTATATCTGCGATGATTGATTTTTTTTTTATTCAGCCAACTTTTATTTACCTTGCAAAAATGTTCTGGACTGATGTGATAAATTACAGATATGCAAATTTCTTTGAATGGTGTTGTAAGTGTGTCTAGCTGGGGCTGAATAACTCCTTGCAAGTCAGTCTGTGCGCACTCAGGACCCCAGGGAGCTGATCAAAGCACCCATTCTCTTTCATCCCCGGTATTCTCCTCCAAACTATTTCGATACAATATGTTTCCATGATGCACTTAATGTGCTAGGGACATAGAACTCATTACAACCTAGCTAGTTCTGCCGACCTCTTTGTTCTGAGGCAGAAAGTCAAAGCAAAAAGGAAAAGCGTTGCCAGTTGCCAGCTTTCTGAAATGCTAAAGCATGCGTCATTTTTCACCAGGTCTCGTCTTGATATCCTCAAAAGACAAACTATGAAACCGGCCTCGGCCCTTGCTGGCATTAATTACACTGCTGTCCAGCCGATCTGTTTTTCCTATTATATGCATTTCTCAGCAGGGAATTTTTTTTTTTTTTTGCAAGACTAATGCAGCTGCACGTTAAACTATGAATGCATTTTTATTGCTATGGAAGAAAAATAAGTGAAAAGACGGCAAAACATACAACTGAACTTTTTAAAGGCTTCTGGTAGATAACAGATTAGGACCGGAACTTGGGGGAGGTTTTTGTAACTTGCGGAAACCTGAAACTGACGGAGAGCCTCAGGCGTTTCCAGTGCGCCCTGGATGTTCCGTGGAGTGCACTCCCTGTACCATTTGAAATTCTGCTCTGGTACTCAGATATATCTTGAAGGTGAAACCCTTCAAGCTTTCTGTTAAAATTCTGAAATGAAACCGTCTGTGCTGCACCCAACTAGGAGGCTGGTTCCAAGGAATTTCTGTCCAGGCTAATAGTACAGAAAATGTAAATTCTATTTCATTTCCCCCGAGTTTCTTGTAGGGTTGATTGGTTGGTGGAAATGGCTGGCCGCCAGTTCTGGGAAAGATTCCAGACCTGACTCCGATTAACCCTCTCTGCTGAAACTCTGCTGGAAACCCAACTCACCAGCAATTGCCATTAATCTACTTACTAATTAAGCCAATTCATTTCCAAAGGAGAAAAATTCCTTTCTTTAGCCAAACTGATGGGAGGAAATCTGAAAGAAGCGCCAAACTGTGTAACTGTAATTCAGCCAAGGACTGCTAAAACAAGGTGTTGATATATAGCAGCAGATTTAAAACAAGTTTCTAGGGCAACACTGCTTTAGAGACGGTGGCATATAGTGCATAGTAGATGAAGCTCGAATAATGCTCTCCGGCGCTATGCCACCCCATGGACTTGCGTCAAGAATAACACGTCTCTCTCCAATTAAATCTTGTGCCGTTTACGCACAAATAAATCGCCTCTCTAGCTTTCTTTCACACCAGAGTATATCAGCTTTATGTGACAGTTACCAAAAAATATATTTCTTGAGACTTAATAAATCGCCCTAGAAATCTGTAATCCGGAGTCTGAAACTGGGGCTACAGGCAGGGCCTAACTTGTAGTTCGGGGAACAGAAAGGACCAAGCTGACCATTACGCACGTGAGAAAGCGGACTGGCCTTTCAGCAAATGGTACCTGACATTCTGGAAAGAATAATACGTGAATCCTGGCCTTGATACTGACCGGGAAGCAAAACTCCAAGGAGTTTCCCACTTACCAAAGAATTGTTTACAGCTTTTAAGATAAGGCTGGGAGCCCAGTACCGATATAAAATTAAGAGCGGACCGCCCTAGAGGAAATTTAAAATCCCCTTGGACCAGGCCTTAAGGCTCGCCTTCATGGCGATTAGTTGGTGGGCGAGGAGGCAGCAAATCAGTTTGCCTTTGTGTTACAGAGAGACACTGGATGGAGAAGAGAGGGAGTGGAGATTTAATGCCTCAAACTCTTTAATTGAAGTCTGTCCCTCCCCACCCTAAGGCTTTGGGGCACACTGCTGAGCCCAGGAAAGCGCCCCAGTGGATTTGACCCCCCCCCTCGGAGTTCATGTGTCACGCTCACCCAGCATGAGCGAGCACCTGCCTCAAGGGCTTGGAAAGGTGCTCATAGTGGGCGCACGTCACGTCCTCTTCACTTCAGGTGCTGGTCGCGAGTGAGTCTACATCATCTGGGGAGACAGACCTGTGATGTTAGAAAGGCCTGGGTGGTAGTATCCCTTAGGGAGGCAGGCCTTACGCCGGCAGGGGGAGGGCCCGCTCTGTGGGTCCACTCTGCGCAGCCCAGTGCCCTGCCCCATTACTCAGTAGCATCCATATCATTCACTGGGGTGTTCTGGGGTATCGATGGCTTCTCCAAAGGCTTTTCCTCCAGCATTTCTGACAACCTTCCTAAAAATAGGGCAAAACGAATAGATGTGAATTTTGTTTTACCTGCTATACACAAACCACTTCCCACTTGTCACGCGGAGCTCTTTGCCTCATGTTTACTGGGTCCTCCCAACTCTGGCTCCATCTGGGGTTCCCTTCAGTGACCTGAGGAGAGGGCTGGGAGGGTGGGGGAAGGGGCGGTCAGGCGGTCAGATGCTCCTTGGCCTTCAAAACAGCTTGCATCAGCCAAGTTTTCCTCTGAGACGGTTTTCCCGCTGCCCTAGAATGTGGAAATGGTCTTAGGAGCCTGTGACCGAGGTCAGTAAATGACCTTCTGCTGAGGGCCTCTTTCCTAGAATTAGGAGCAGTTGTAAGAGAATTTTTAAAGGCAGGGTTTGTCTTGTGCTTGGGCCCAAGGACCTAACTAAGATTTAAATTTCCATTTGCATGTTCAGTCTTTCCTCCACACAAAATAGAAAATTCTGCATGAGAAGGAAAAGAAACCTTATTGGCAGGGAGGGCTTCTGAAGCTGGGGAGTAGGGAGGTTCCCGCCCCCCCACAGGCTGTGCTCTCTGCTCCGTAGGGAGGGACATTTACCTGGTGTGTAAATTGTGAGGAAAGCCTTGGGGGTCTGAGACAGGAAAGCCACAACATGGGATGTGATGTTCCCGCTTTGAAAGGGGGACAAAGGCCCCGAGCTAATCCCAGTGAAAGCCAGGAGCGTGGACAAGGCAACAAAGAATTGCAGCCTGTGGTCACCGGTAGGTGTCAATGTGGACACTTAGAGCTGGGGCGGTGGGAGAGGGGGCCACAGAGACAGGCTGTCATTCCGAGACTTAACATGAACAAAGATAAAAACGTGACAACCTCGCTTTTCAATGGTTGGGAGGTGCTAGGGAGTCTATCTGGGTCAAGTCTCTTCTGAAGCAGGGCCTTTCTTTTCTCCAGTCAAGTATCGGCCAGGGAAGTTCTGAGGCCCTCTTTTCCAAGGTAATTTTTCATAGAAGAAGAAGAATTCTTCAAAATAATCTCCTACTCCACCCACTTGCCTAAGGCAAAGATATGGAGCTTTCGAGATTCCTAGACATCTTGTAGAAGGTGTTTTCTGCACCCCAGAGGCTCAAGTGGCTGCATTAAGCCTTTGTGAACTTGAACAGCCTACCGTAACCTTTTTTTTTAAGTTCCTGTATTCTTTTACACATTTAATGAAAAGAAATAACATTTCCTTTTATGAAACTGTGTGTACATGTAGATGAATCTAGGGGTGCCATAATTTAAGAAGTATGCATCTGACAAAGACATTTACCTAGGATACCATGGAAGGAGTAATGAACACCTGGTAGAGTTAGTATGCCCATGATTTCAGGCTCACTATTAGAAATCAGCAGACAAGGCATTTGCCAACAAATGGATCTCCTCTATAATCTGGGAAAGGTAATCAGGAATCTTCCGCTAATGCAACTGATTAGCAAAGACTCTCGGAGAATTAACAAATGGAACTGACAACAAATTATGTTTATCCTAAGAACTCAGAAATGTTGTTGTCTTTAAATTCTGCCATCAAAACCAAAATACAAGTTTAAAAATCACAATGTAATAAAATTCTGATTTTCTTTAGTTGGAATAAGTCTCCTAAATAATAAAAAAAAAAAAAGGATGTAAATATCCTTAAAAGACTAATGACATTTCACAGGTAATGCAATTTAGAAAGAAACACTTCCATGTTTTCTTTTCCAACAATGTGCATTTTTGTAAACTGCTATAAATTGCAATTCAAAAGCACTGATCTCGCCATCCCCAATCATTTTTTATACTGATCAAATGAATGCAGATACTCCCATTTGGGAGGGGCGACATGACATTTCCCTTGGCAGTTCTAAACAGGTCACAGACCTTTCACAGACCCTAAGGCAGTGGGAGGGAGCTCTTTACTAAACCGTGTAACCAAATCAAACCAATGGTTACCCCTTTTCAAAACCATTGGAATGGTTTGCACAATGCTATTCACATAGCAGCACAGAAACTGAAAGGTCATCCAATGGAAATTTCTTTCCTTTTGTTTAAACTTGCAGAGCTCAAAAAAGTCATACTTTGAAGGAAAACAATTACATGTACTATGACACAAATCATAGGCAATACACATGCATGTTTATTGGCATAACACGGCATAGCTGTTAGACACCCATTGGTATGTATATATATGCACATGTATGTATGTATATGTATGTATATTTATTGGAGATGTTGCTTTGTTTGAAACCTTGGGCACAAAGACACAACATGGCTGCCCTGGAGGTGACCTATTGCTTTCAAGTTGCTTGAACACATCAGAATTTCCATTGTTAAGGTTGATTAATTGAAACTGATAAGTTACCATGAATAAAGATTGTTTTTCTGTTTAATGTGGTGGGCCTGATTTGGTAAATGCCTCATTCATGTAGCTTTGCAGTGCAGCATATGGGCAAGAGTCATTCAGTATCACAAACATATACAATTTATTATGCTTGTATGGGCACAGCCAAAAGGCCTTTTTATTTTAATGACAAAGTTTCAATGAAAAATTCCATTTAAAGACTCACTAGTAACACGAAGTGTGATTTTGTAATTTACACTCAGAGTTTCTATCTTTGAGTTGCTGTGAGTAGTTTTAAAAAAATGTAATATTTAAATACAGTAAAAAAAAAGATCCATGTGTCCAACTTACACCATAAGTCATCGGGAATACAGCAGAATTTATCTTAAATTTAGCAGGCACATGAAGAGAAAGCCCTTCATCATCTGATACCACCTGCATGCCATACTGTCGATAAAATTACCATAAATATTTCACCGAGATGCCACCAACAGTAGCTCTCCCTGTCCAGTTTACAACAAAATGCAAAGGAGGTTGGTAAATAACATGCCAACTTCCTGATGTCTTTTTTTATCTTAATGAATAAAACCCGGAGACGATACTTAAAAATAATTTAGGGACCATCACGTGAGATACCCATGGATTTATGAAGTTTTCCACAATTTAATTACTGTTCTTAAAAGCTGATTTCACTTTTTAAAGTGTTAGCCAAATAAAGACTGTCAGGAGTGTTTACTGATAAAGGTAAGGTTTCTAATTTTTTCATAATGATTTTGCACAGAAACTTTTCTCCCCCTTTTTCATTTAGGCCGCTCGTGTAATCACAGGAGAGTACTCACAAAAAAATATGAAAGACATGCAAATGAGCTAAAGGAAAGACTGTATCAAGCCATCAAAGAGATAGTTAACATATTCAGCTTTTAATGTCTTATCAAATAAATTCTCTGGTCATTCATGTCCATGAAACAGTTCAAGTTCACCCAACATTTCTCAATTAGATTAGATGGGTAATCTCAGTTCAGCTCTTCTCGAGAGTAATCAACCACATTGGTCACAGTTGACCACCGCTAGTATGTGTCTCATAAAGGACTGGATGTCCATTGGAAAGCTAATCAGTGCACCGTCCCTTGTAAAATTCCCTCCCTGCATTTGGAAGTGATAATCTGTATCTAATTTTTAAAGAAAAATTTACTCTCCTTTCACTCTTCTGAGGCCAATTTCTTTTCTGGACCTGAATAGAGATCATTGGTGCAACAGTACCAAATAGCTTTGGTATGTGTATAACAAAAACCCACCTCTTTGTAGAACATAACAAATTATGCAATGTTCACAGATGCGCTTCCCATTGTGCCTTTTGTGAGAAAATGAAGACCCAACTCTGTTCCCCCACCCCCCTCTTTATGAAAGACTACGCTGCCAACGCAATCTGTCCTAATCTTAGCGAAAAATAAATACATGTAACAGGGCAGCTTTAGGCAGTTATTTTTAAAGTGGTTTTCATCTGGACCTTCGGTCTATGTAATTTCCACAAGTAGGCATTGGAAGTTCCAAACAGCTATTTATTCTGACAAACGGGCAAAAGGCTTGGGGCCTAAGGATGAAAAGGTTAACTGTTTCTTTCACCCACCTCTGGAGTTTGGGTCTTTTGCGGAAATGCTGTTTTCACACAATTTCCCGCGTTTATAGGTTATCGAGGAATTTTAGTAATTCTTCAACGATAATTTTTTAAATCTACACACTAAAAAGATTTTACATTATGTGTCTGTATTTTGGCTTTGGATAATCCTTTTGCCCCAGAACTTTCAGGCTGTAATTGACAGACAGCACTGTGTAAGTTTAAGGTGTATGGCGTGAGGACTTGACCTAGCTATATTGTAAAATGAGTACCACAGTACATTTAGCTAACATCCATCACCTCATAGAGATTTTTTTTTTTTTAAAGTTCTTCTCCTCGTGATGAGAACTTTAAAGAGCTACTCTTTTAACTTTCAAATATAAGCTCAGTGGTGTTAATTATTGTCATTCTGTTCTACGTCACATCCCCAGTGGCTATTGATCTCACAACTGGAGTTTGTGTCTTTTGATCAACTTTCCTCCAAGTCTCACTCCCTCTTTTGTGGGGAGAGGCTATAAATAGAGAATTCTGACTAACGAGGTAGCAATTTCTGCAGATGTGCTGAGGAGCGCAGAGAAGCATTCTCAGGCCCACCCCTACCTAGCCAAACAGCCTTAAATCCTGGTATTTCTTTTACTGGTTGTCCTAGTCTTTGAATGTCAGTCTTAGAGTACACATTCCAAACACTAAGAAGACTCTCTGCATCCTGAGTGTCGAGCGCAGGGCTTCGCTTATAGCAGGTGTTCATAACATCTGTGCAGGGGATGAATGAATGGAGTGACAAAGAGGAGGCAAAAGCCAGAAAAGGAAGCAGTGTGGCTTCCTTGGTGTCCATGGCCTTTGCAGTTCCCTCGACATTGACTCTGGTCTTGGTCATCCCGTTTGCTTTGACTAGTGGGACTGGAGCAGCTGTGGTGCCAACAGAGACTCAAACAGCCCCTGTGCACTGGAGCTTGCTCTCTTTTGCAGCTCTTGAGGACCCGAGACTGCCATGATCAGAAGACTGGGTTTGCCTGTTCAGTGATGACAAATGCAAGATCTGGCTACCCTGT